TAGGAGTGCATAAAAATGGGCTTTCCAAAAGCTGGTTACTTGTGATTATGTAATGGTGGAGGATTGTGCTTGATGGAGGGGCCAGTCTGGCGTCTATGCCTGAAAGCTCACCCCCTCTCCAGTACTTCCAAAACACTAATTCCCAGGTTGCCTCCCTTCCCACGAGCCTGCCAGGAGCTCCCTTTCTTCTGCTTTGGGATTTCTCCTCTGCCAGTTGTGCTGAGTTCTCTTCCAGCTCTGACAGCCCCTTGCCGCAGGAACGCGAGCAGACCGTTCGTTCCCTGCGTGCTCTGATTCACCCGCTGCAGGACGGTTGGGCTCCCCCTTGCATTCTGTCCCGGGGATCTCTGCTGGGCACATAAGCCATCGGCCCGTGGTCCATGCCTTGGGAGGCCTGGGGCCACTGTGAAGTCTCCACTCGGCAGAAGGGATTACGGACTAAGGGTTTACTCGGGCTGGTGCGTGAAATGAGAACAAACTCGCTTGGGGTATGCCTTTCAGAGATGACCTCTTGTGCCTTGTCTCTCCTCAGTCCTGTTGAGACCTGCGGACCTGTCCTAAATGGTGTGGGCAGAGGTGAGGATGATCAGAGAGTAGAACTGGGGCATATGGATTTATCCTTTTATCTAATGAATTTTCCCAGTGCTTTTGCTTTTCTCTTTCATCCGGGTTTGCAGTATGTGCCTGGTAGCCTGCTCTCGGTGCTCCGCTGGCTGCCTGCCTGAGGCTTTGCTGCTGTGGCCTCTCTGGAGATGCTGTGCTCTGCTGAATGCCGTCTTCTACTTCGAAGGCAGAAACCTGCCAGGAGGTTTTGTTTACACTGCAGGGACCACTGAGAGTGTCACGTTTCTGTGAATACAGATAGGAGAGAAAGCTCCTGTAAGGTGCACAGTGTGATTTCTGTTTCTGGGCATTTTGAGTTGAATCTCTGATTCAATTTTCCTGATCTTCCCTGATCATCTTAGAGAGACCCTAGGTGCCATCTTTGACTGCTCTTAATCTTGGCAGCTGTTTTAGTGTGTTTCCAGGACTGACATATTCTTCTCATTTGATGAGAAAGGATCCAGGTTATCCCCTGCAGACCTGGTCGGAATGAGCTCTGGCTCCAGAGAAACCCCTAGGCTGGGCAATTGCTTGAATGTAAACCACTACCCTGACGCGTGGTTTTGCTGTCTTTGCTGGAAATGATGCCTCAGAACTGAGGATCATGCCCACTACTGGATAAAAGCCCCTGTGAGCAAAGAGATGTCAGCGCAAGCCTCAAGGTCTGTTGCAGGGTTTATTGCACCTCCCCACGGGCAGCGCTGGCCGTGGGTTCCAGTGCCCTGGCACTAGCAACTGGAAGTGACTGGGTGACCTCTGAGATGTGCGTTTGACCTTCCCACGCTGTCTAGGTAGGATACCTGCAGCAACACGTGGCTTTGGTGCCAGGTTCAGGTTGTATCCCACTGCCAGTCTGGGGACTCTTTCGCTGACGGGGCGATCGTGTGCTGCCCAGCCCACCAGGCGCTTCCTGGCTGCACCTCCTCTGTCCTCCCTCCCTGAGCCCAGCCCAGTCTGGCTCTGTTCCCCCGTTCACTGACAGACTGGCCCCGAACAGGAGGACGCGTGTCTGCTTGGCAGGGCCGAAAGCTGCTGCTGCCTCCCCAAGATGGGGCCAATGGTGGAACTGTGCTTTCCCTTAGCAGCAGCAGCACACAACTCTGAAGGGACGGTGGCCCTTCTGTTGCTGGTTCTCTGCTGTTCGCATCGTTGGCACATCCCAGTTTGCAAGATGCCTCAGCTGACGTTGCTCCTCCTATCCTAGAGAAAGGGTGACCCACATCGCTCCTGATCAGGAGCTTCGAGAGAGAGAGTGTTAGACCAGCGGAGCTACGGAGAGATGCTCCTGACAAATGTGGCCACTTTTGCAGACAGACTGTAAATGATGAGACCCTCGTCACCTGAGGCCTCCCGTCCGTTATCAGCAGTGTGCAGAAGGAGCTGGTGGGAGCTCCTCCCTGGGTGGGAGTGAGAGCGAGGCACTGCCAGAAGAGATTAGAGCCAGCAGACAGAGCGGGATTGCTGAACCTCTGACTGCAGCCTTGAAACCCAGCCTGAGCCACTGCTTTGGCAGAACTTCCCCATTGCTCATTGCCTTTGCCACAGCTGCAGAGCAGCGGGCTGGGTCAGGGCGCAGGGGCTAGAACGTTCATCCAGCAGCAGTAACGCTCCACGAGGCGAGGGTGCGAGAGCAGGAAGACACGCGTGAGTAGGAGCAGAGGAAGCCACTAATCGCAGCCAGGAGAGGGAAAGGGAAAAATTTAGATTGTCAGCAAGGAGACAAGGGGAGCTTTTTCCTGAAAGAAAGAAAGGGAAGGAGAATACAAGCACAGTCCAATGTGCTGTGCTATTTTTTTGACTGTAGAAGGTCTTGGAGATGTCCTGCATCTCTCTGTGCATCTCCGGAAGGCGCAGGCGGGGCATGGGGAGCCTCAGGGCAGCACCTCTGAAGCACTGAAGCCTCCGCACGTTCTCCAGGCCCTGGTGCCCCATGTCCAGAGGGTCGGGAGGGAACCGCGACCCCTCTCCTCTGTGCAGGTGTTACCTGTGAAATGCCAGGCTCCGGGGCACATCTGCGGGGCTGCTCTTTCTCTGCTGTTCCCAAGGTGGGACCTGCAGCTCTGACCCGCTCCCTGCACTTGGCAGCAGTCATCTGCTTTCTGGAGCTGGCTTGGTATTAAGTATCCTGTCTGACACAATAATGGAGAGAAAAGGAACAAATTCCATTAGCGGCTGGCGATCCCTGCAGGGTCTGCGCTGGTGCGAGGAGGGAGCCTGTATTTTTAGACAGAATGCAATGTAACTTACTGGCTCTCTCAAAGCTGGGGAGTTGATAACCAAGGAGGGGACAGGGGACACCAGGCTCAGGTTTCAGCTCAAGTGCCGGACTATGGCAGCACGAAAGGGCAGGTCCGGTCCAGGCGTGGCTGTGAGTATACAATGCACTTCTCCTTCGTGCCCACAGAGACCTGCGCTTTGCTTTTCTGCTTGCCTTCTGCCTGTGGTCTCTGCTGCAGGGTGTGCTGGGGCTTCGGGAGCCCTTTGCTGCTGGAGCCTGCACGGTTTTACCCATTTAATCTTCGCAGCTCTGTGTGTGTCCCATGGGTGGGAGCGCCTGGCCGAGCTGTGCTTTGACGTTCCAGGGGGTTTGCTGTCGAAGCTCCATGCTGTGGCTGGCATGCTGGCAGCATATCTGAGGTGCTGCCCCGTCATTGATCCTGACCTGAGATGCAGAGGCTTCTAGCAGGGTCTGGAGTTGGAAAAGCTCTTTGCATTCAGCCTGTTGTTTGAAGCTGTCAGTGTTTCCTCGCTAGACCCTAGACAGCACAAACGTGCCCTTCTCAGCGCAGCACTGGTGCTGCCATCTGCCTCTGACAGTAGATCATCCTGTACGAGCGGAGCAGCGAGGCACCACGATGTGTCTCCTCCGTGCTTGCAGCCCTCCGCAAAGCCGGCAGCTCTGCTGCAGGTCTGGGGGCTCTTCCCAGAGGAGCAGGGCTCTCCTCTGAGGTGGCAGCAAGTGGAGCCAGCTGGCACAGGAGGTTGTGTAGTCGGCACGTGTTCCCCCCGCACGCGGGAGCTGCACATGGGGACAGGGCAGGGTGGTGCTGCCGACCAGCACCCGTCCCTCTGACCCGGGGCTGCCCCAGGAGGGGCCACAGCACCCAGCCACTGCTGCGGGAGCCCAGGCTGAGTTCTGCAGCCTGTGGCCAGCACAGTGGGGGCCAGGACACCCTCTCTGTGTCCTGCCTTCCTTCTGCAGGGGCTAGCAGAGCGAGGCGCCCAGGACACGGGTACATTTACTGGGGTAGGAGGGTTAGGCAGAAAGGATGGGCTGGGGGGGCAAATGGAGGAGAGCAGGAGGCAACTGAGTTGTGCTGCTCCAAAGTCCAAATTCAAATGCCTGTAAAGAGAAGGGAAGAGAGGAGCCCTGAACCCGCGTGGTGCATCATCATGCCTGGGTCTGCCTCCAGTGCTGTCCTCCGTGGCCGTGCTGTTTCCAGCTCTGTCCAGGAGCTTCCTAATCTGGGGCGCTCCTCTGCAGCCAGGCTGTGGGCACGACAGGATGGCCTGGGGTGGCGAGATGGAGGCTTTCGTAGCACAGGAGGTCCCTTGGTCAGTCCCAATGTGAGTGGTACAAGAGGGGTTCTGGGTTTCTATTGGAGCTGAAGGCAGAGGAGCACGTCCTGAGCTCTTGCCATGGACGTCCACGGCTCTTTGCTGCAGAGAGCGCTTTGGGCTGGACCGAGCAGGCAGGCATCAGCTCATAGTTACTGGTCCAAGGTCCCAGCCTCTCAGAGCCACGTCACTGCATTTCCACCCTGCTGTTCTCCAGCTTATGGTGAGCCATCCCATGGTCTTCATCTGCTGCTTTACACTGCTGAATAGCGTTGCTCGAAGTGTTGCTGTGCCTTGCCTGCAGCGGCTGTGTTTTAGTGGTGCAGGGAGGCACTGCCTCGTCCCTGTTGGAAAAGAGAGTTGTGACTTCCCCGGCTGTGGGGCACTTGGCCGGGCCCTTGTCCCGGCGCCGGTGCCCGAGCTCACCGCTGCGGCTGCCCCGCGGTTCTGGAGGACAGCAGGGTGGGCTGCCCACAGCTGCGGCCAGGGACCCATCCATCAGCCAGGACGCAGAGGTGTTTCCTGGGCCAAGGGGGGTTGCCCTGGCGGCAGGAGCCCCCTTGGAGCTCCCTCCCTGCACCGCCGCGGTGCTGGGGCGAGCACGGCCCTCGCGCAGCTCTCCTGCCCGGCCGCTGGACGCTAAAAAAAAATCCAGGTCCCAGCCCTGCCTCTCCCCGTCTGCTCTGGGGCACCTCAGTCAGTCCCAGCAGTGCTGCCGTGGACCGCTGGGTCTCTGCCTTTGCTGCCAGGTCTCTGCAGCTGCGTGCAGAGCTGGCCCTGTGCTGGAGACAGGGGAACAGGGGACGCTGAGGCTCACGCTTTTTCTTTTTTTCCCCAAGGCTGATGCTGCAACCAGTTTCTTGAGAGCTGCAAGATCCGGGAATCTCGACAAAGCCTTGGATCACCTCAGGAATGGGGTAGATATTAACACCTGTAACCAGGTAGGTGAAACCTGCAGGGCTTCTGGTACCATCTCCAGTTCATGGGACAGCGTGCCACGCAGCGGCTCCCCCAGCCCAGGGGGAAGAGCACGGCACAGTGGCTGGGATGTCTTGGGAATCACTCCTGGGGATATTCCCCTTGCCTGCAACCCTCAGGCTTTCAGATTCCCAGAAGCTGCAGCTTAACACAAGCAGGGGACGTTTGCAAAATGCCAGTCTTGGTGCCTTGGGAGGTTTTGGGCAGGTGGAGCCCTGCTGAGCCCAGAGCAGAGACAGGTCTGCCCCAGGAAGGGAGAGCTGCAGGCACAGAGGAATCGTCTGCACGGAATCGACAGAACATTTTGTATCTGTGTAGCTGCCAAATGCAAGTGTCTCAGCCTGGACCAGGATAGGTGCTGTAGGGAGAGACCCAGGGGGCTTTAGCGGAGCAGGGGGATGGACAGACTGCGCTGTCGGCTGCTTTCCAGAGCAGTCGTGATGCTGGGAGGCTGACTCAGCAGGCAGCACCAACGTATGTTCACCTGGTTCAGTATCAAGTCTCCAAAGCAAGTGTAGTTCAGACATACTGATGAGTGCACTGCAGTGACCAGCGCCGTCGCTGCAGCTTCCCCCAGGACATGTCACCGTCTCCCTTTCCTTTCTGACCGAAGCACCGTGCAGGGCTGCGGGGCTGCTGCAGTCCCCTGGGGCACACTGAAGCTTGTGCTCTCCTCTAATTTCCAGTCCGCTGCTCCTGTACCGCCACAGTGCAGAGGAATGTGTGGCTCTGGAGAGGGCTCTGCAAAGAGCTGCACCAGGGAGACCAGCAACAAGCTAAAGACAGTGGGCTTCGAACTTCCTCCTCACCCAGAGACAGCCGGTCATCAGCTGTCTCTGCTAACGGGCTGCGAGTCCTGTTTCCTGACAGATTTTGCACTGACTGGTTCCTGCCATCTCCCTGGGGTTAGATGGCACTTTGGGGTTTCCTTCTGAGGAATATCAGACCTGTGGGAAAGGTCCAACCTCACATGTCCTGTATAGAATAAAGAGGGATATATGTGGTCAGACCTATCCCACAGGCCCTGTATTCTTACTCACGTGCAGAGACCTTGACATGCCATCTGATCTTCATCCCGCCCATTTCGTCCCTTCATTGCTGCCATCAGCATCAGTGTCTTCATCACGCACCTCTCTGGTGTTTTAATCCCATCTCACCCGTGAGGAGCAGGAGGATGAGCACACCTTGCTGCCAGGACCCTCACTCGCAGGGGACAGTGCTGTGCCGGCACACGGAGCCAGGAGATGGTTTCTGCGGAGGTGGCCAGTCACAGTCCCGATGGACGGTCCAGGGCAGCTCTGCTTTGGTGCAGGCTAAGGGCAAAGTCCTGCCTTTGTGTTTTCCTGTAGGGCTGCATTTGTCGCGTTGACAGCCAGCGGCTGGGATTTCTGGGAAGCGTTTGCGGCACTTAGTGAGGGGAATACAGCACCTTTCAAATTAAGCACATGCTGTGGCGGTTTTGGGTCAGACGAGCTGTCAAAAAGCAAATGTGCAGAACAGGCTGTATTGTTCCTGGAGCGGAAATATCGATGGGCCGCTGGGAAACAATCTTCTGCAAACATTGCGCTCATGGCTGTTAGGACAGAGAATAATTGTTCCTCACAGGTTTTCAGCATTCAAAAGGTTATTTATGAATCCTTTGCATAAAAGGGCATGTGTGCCGAGGAGAGCAACTGAGAACCTATGGTCTTGCACTCCAGGCGTTTGTTGCATGGCTGTAATTGAGAAAAGGCGTGTGTCTGTGTCCACATCTCCAGCTCCTGAGCTCATAAGGGTGAGGGTGTCAGTGACCATCTCTGTGGGGTTGTGTAGGTCTGTCGTAGTCAAAGAAGCTGGGCTTGACCAAGGCTCAGTGTATCCTGAGCTGGCTGGCAGCATTTCTGTTCAGTGGCTCTATTCTGTGAGCGTTGCAGTGTTCCCGCTGCATTTTCCCTTGGAAGCAGGCTTTTTATGCTTGAGGCTCCTGGGGACTTTGGAGTTGGTGTGCTGAGGAAGCGTGTGGGTTTTTAGGTTTTTACTCTTTGTGCTGTGATCAGATTGAGCAAAAGAATCTGTGACTCTCCGACTGTGATCCTGGATAGCTGGTGTTTGAGTGAGAGAGCGGAAAGCCTTTTTCCAGGGTGATAACACTCTTGAAGCTGTTCTAAGTTTAACTGGACTGTTGAGGGCTGGAGCTGGAGCATCTCCGGGCATTTTCTGCTCCCCTACCTGTATTCAGGTGGGGATGAAGCCACTCTGTGAAGTGACCTTGCAGTTCTGTACGGGAGCCGAAACAGATGGTTGGGAGGTGGAGAGCTTGGGCAGGGCTGTGCTCCCGGGGAGCTGACGGCATTGCGTAGGGGGGAGCAAGCACAGTGCATCCATCTGCGAGAAGTGAGGGACAAGGGAAATTTGCCTTATGGGCAGAAAGTGACATCTGAAACTGCCTGCAAGTATTCAACCCAGAGAGCCCAGCCCCAGCAGGTGACTGATGCCCCTCTCCCCCCTTTGCTCTCTGCAGAACGGGCTGAACGCCTTGCACCTGGCCTCCAAGGAGGGCCACGTGAAGATGGTGGTGGAGCTGCTGAACAAGGAGATTGTGTTGGAGACAACGACCAAGGTGAGGACAAGGGAGTCCGGTCACGTCAGGCACGACTGCACCCTGCCATTGCTGCCGGATGCACCAGCAGCAGCCAAGCAGAGAACCGCAGTTTGCTGTCAGCCCCTGGAGAGGCTGTGCTGGCGACAGCGCTGCTGGGCTGTGGCTGGGGAACGGGCTCTGATTTCAGCACAGTCGAAGCCGTGCTGCGCACCTCCGGCTGGGTGGAAGTTTCCTCTCCCCCCGGGGGCCACGGGAGCCGCTGTGAGCTCAAGGGGGGCGGAACAGGAGCCACAACGTGTGCTCGTGCTGTCTTTACTCGCATCTCCTCCTAGCACTGGCTGCCAGCTCTGGGCAGCCCTCGCTGTGTGCTGCAGTGCCGCGATGGCCTCGGTACCATTGTCGCAAGCCTGGAGAGCTCTGGTGCTCTGTAAATAGCATATCGTCCTCTCCGTGCATCACCACGGCAGGGTGTGGTTCTTCTTCAGTGACAAGCGAGACAACAGTGCAGGAAGCAGGGCTGACAAAGGAGCAGCC